CACACACACACACACACACACACACACATATAAGGCGACAAAATCTGAAACGTTGTAATCCTGAAAATCTGAAAGCCTCGGAAACTAAGATTGATGTGTGTGTTGCACAGATTTCCATTAGTTTAATGTGTGTGTGTGTGTGAGTAACTTTAGACCTTGTTTACACACAGTCTGTCCATTTACACTAATGAAGAGAAAACACCATCTCTGTCTGTTAATCTTAATAAAACGGAGGAAAAACGTATTAATGCAAAAGTAAAAATGTAAATCACTTTAAAAATAAACAAATAAATAGATGACTTTGTTAACGTAGTTAAATGCAACAGTAAAATAATAAATAATTGTATCTTTTAATTGCATATATAATATAATAAGCATTTGCCAATTGCTTTATTTCTTTAGCCATTACAGCTTTTAAGTAATTAATCCTGAAACCCAGAAGTTCTTTGTTATTTTAGTATCATTGACATACTATTATAAAAAAAATATTTTGAATCAGTTTTTATTTTTATATTTTCTGTTTACATTTTAGTTTAAGTTTTATTAATTTTGTTGTGTTTTTGTCATTTACATTAGTTTTTTGTTGTTTTTAAATGTCTATATAGTTTTATTCATTTTTATTTCAGTTTTAGTTATTTAGTACATCAAACTAAACTAATTTAAAAATTAGAAATGTTGCCTTGGCAACTAGCTGAAATAAAAAGTTTTCTATATTTTATTTTATTTAACAGTTATTTAATTTCAAGTAAAGAAAAACGTTTTATGCTTTTATTTATGTTTTAGTTTTAGTTAACTATAATAACCATGGTACCTCAGGACCTTCCTGTGGGTTTTTCGATTGGCAGATATAGTTTTATGAGTAAAAAATACGAAACATTACTTAAGTATTAAATTATACACAGCCAAACCTTTAACATGAATTTTGTTATAGAAATGCAAATTGTAAAATGTAAATGTAACTACTTGCTAAATTGCTTTTCATGTGAGAAGAAAGGACTTGATGTCACTGTGATTAAACATAAGAAAAAAATGAGCATTTCTGCTTCAGTATTTTGTAGTTGTTACTGAATCCTACAAAGACTGTGCTGAGGTAGAAAAATGCAATATAAGATGTACACCTATATAGACAGACAGAGAGACTCACTCATGGTGGCCCCAGCCGAGCTCAGGCAGGTAAGGCAGCTTCTTAATGCGGATTATGGAGTCGTAGATGGACGGCTGAAGACTCTGAGCGACGGCGTTGGCGAGAATCACAGCGATCATGATGGGCAGAATGTGACTGATCTGACCCGTCAACTCAAACACGATCACAGCCGTGGAAACCGTGTGTGTGACCGCTCCGGATAACGCCGCCGCTCCTGCAGAGAGACAGATTTAACAAAACTAATGAAAAACACTTCAAATTGGTTCACGTTAAGTTAATGCAAAATACCAAATGAACACAAACTATTGAGCCGATTCAATTCAAATTCAAACTCACGAACTGGCAAGAAGAGATATTTACTGAATTGCAATTCAAAGAATTTCAAGTCGCACAGAACAGAAAATCAGTGGTGCATTCAAACATTCAAACAAAAAAACATATCTACATACAGTAAAAATGAAAGAAATTGGTATCTACACTTCTAGTTATAGCTTGATTTTTTTTTTAGAAAACTTTTTAGTATTACTATTTTTCATGATTCAAGATTTATTTGTTAAATACACACTTAAATTTGCAGTGAAACATGGTTCTTGTTCTTGTTTATTTATATAGCACAGTTTAATGCAACACCAAGTAGCCCAAAGTGTTTCACAACATCACAATAAAATACGTACAAAACAAAGTCACCAATAAAAAAATACACAAATGGCTACTTAGATGTGCCTTAAATATAAATAAATAGTAGGTAGAAATTGATCAAATTAATCAAATTTATTAAAAACATTTTTTTAATTAGAACATTTCTGTATACCTTTTATATATTTGTGAAATGTATACAATTATGTAAAATATTTATAAAAATGTACTTAATATTTAAAAATATTACTAATATTTAAAATATCTCATCCTTTCTTTAAATACTGAAATATTTCATTTTCTAAGAAAAACAATTTGTTACAGTGCATTTGATGGTCAAAATCATACACTTCTCTAAACCCTTCACCATATTGGCCATTAAGCTATAAATAAAATAATAAGCATTCAAAAGTGGTTATTGTTATTTCATAATTGAATCCAGTGGCTACTAATCAAAGACTAACAATGAAAACAACAATCCATAACCAAACACAACAAAACTAAATCAATGCCTCTCAAAATCACTATGACAACAATGAAGCAATTTCCATAAAAGGTAATCAGCTGTGATGAATGTGTACGTGTCTTTTGAAGATAGTTTGCTTCTCACCCACAACAGCGTATCCTCCGGGAACTATGGGATAGATGGTTCCGTCCGTATTAATGCCCTCTGGAAACCATGCGGCCATACTTTCACCCACCAAACGGCCAAACGCAGCACCTGAAACACACAGGTTCACATTCCCAGGTCACATTTTAATAAATGAAGAGTTCATTTGCAAAAACCGATAAACGCCACTTTAAAAAAAAAAAGAGCTGATTGCCGTGCATTATTCTCCACATATAGCGCGATCTGAACCCTAAACACGTTTTGTCAAAAAAGCCGGTTTTGTCCACTTTCAAGGCATCGCGAGTTCACGTTTTACTGCAGAAGCCGACAAGCGCCCTTGTTATTTTTGAACAGAAGCCGATAAGTCCATCTTAGCGAATCAGCGCACTGTATTCAGGTCAGGTGAAAAGGCTACTTCACTTTGAAAAGACATGCTAGCTGAGAGGAGTTTCTCAAAGCTGACTAAAAGTGATCGAGGATGGATCATTTCGACGAACTTGATGAACCTCTGATATCTTCTTCAGGGCGAAAAAGGAAAATAAAAGTTATAAGTTTTCACGGAAGCTTGCAAAAGCAGCACGTTACAATGGAGAGGGAAAAGCTCCGTGTATTGCGTGTAATCACATCCATACAGTTTACGATCACAACAACAACAACGTTTGTCAGGCATCTACACTGTCATCTGAGGAGATTACAAAGATTAAATGAGTGTTTTTTAAACACATTAAATGTGGAGTTATCTGCTTTTGCCAAAAAAACGACTGTTGGAGTTATCTGCTTTTGCTATAAAACTAACTTTTAATATGTAAAAAAAACATACTTTCAATTAACTTTAATTTTGTAAATTACCTGTATTTGTTTAAGTTATTATTACTTAATCAAAACAACCCAACTGCAGTTTGATTGATATTACTTGGAATGCGCAATAAAAAAAAAAACCCTGTGATTTCTGAAAAAAAAAAAAAATGTATGAGTTATCGGTTTTTGCAAATTAACTCTTCAAATATATTGCATGAAATACTACAGGAAAAACGATTGTTTTTTTATGCACTTGCCAATTTTGAGCTTTTGAACTATTTTGCTTCTATAACATGTCTTCTTTCAGAAAAGTGGACAGAAAATATCCAAAATACACATTTAAGTTTTTATTTTAAGTTTATTTTATAAAATGTATCTATGTGCATCTGTACAAATATTTAAAGGTCGTTTCCTCAAAATGAGTTTTTTTCTCCACTTCAGCAGCACTTACATACACCAAAACTTATTTATTCCTCTCTATATTCTGAAGGCTTTTACTGAAGGGTTTGTTCATATATCATTCACATGGTTTTTATTATTGCACTTTATCTATTTGCATTTATAGATTTTAGCGTCTGTTTCCTCTAAATGAGTTTTTTCTCCACTTCAGCAGCACTTACACACACCAAAACTTAGAGTTTTATTCCTCTATATATTCTAAAGGTTTTTATAGAGGGGTTTGTTAATATATAATTTACAAGGTTTTATTATGGTACTTAACTATTTGCGACTGTAGGTTGCAATTACAATACACACATTTAAAGCCTGTTTTTTTTCCCACTTCAGCAGCACTTACATACACCAAACCTTAAAGAGTTTTATTCCTATCTATATTCTAAAGGTTTTTACTGAAGGGTTTGTTCATATATCAATCACAAGGTTTTATTTTGGTACTTATCTGCTTGCATCGGTAGATTGCAATTACAATATACATACAGTGGGTACGGAAAGTATTCAGACCCCCTTAAATTTTTCACTCTTTGTTATATTGCAGCCATTTTTTAATAAATCTGCAAAAATGTCAACAATTCTGTGTTTTTCTGTCAATATGGGGTGCTGTGTGTACATTAATGAGGAAAAAAAATTAACTTGAATGATTTTAGCAAATGGCTGCAATATAACAAAGAGTGAAAAATTGAAGGGGGTCTGAATACTTTCCGTACCCACTGTATATATCTTTAAAGGTAGTTTTCACAAAATTAGTTTCTTTTTCCAATTCAGCAGTACTTACATACATCAAATTTAAGAGTGTTAATCCTAACTATATTCTGAAGGTTTTTATAGAGGGGTTTGTTAACATATCCTTCACAATGATTTCTATAACATTTTATTCCTAAAAACATAGCGAAAATGTACTTTTCTCTTGCTGACAGAATTTTTTTAGATTTATGGAGTGATAAAAAGAGAAATCCAAAATCCCTTCAGTAAAAATCTTTAACTCTAACATGCCAACAAATTAAAACAAGAATTTTGAACCTGGCTTTACCCAATGTTCATATTAAACTCTGAAAATGTATGCAAATTAGTGCAAATTTAATGTAATATTTAAACACAACATTTCAGAAAATTTCTAATACAAAACATGTATTGTAATTAATCAACGGGGGAAGTACTGCGATATCTATTAGTAAAATTTTTTACACAAGTAACCTGTGGTGTCTTGCTTTAAAAGTTTAATTAACATACAAATACTTACCAATGACGAAAACAGGCATAAAGGCTCCACATGGTACGGGAAGAGTTGTGGCTAAAGCAGACATCCAGAACTGCACAAAAACAACAGTAATACTCATTAAAACATAAACAAAACTATTTTAGCAAAATCTAATATCTTTCTCTATCTCTGCAGCAAAAATTCTGCTTATATAACCAAGGAGAGAGGAGAAAAACAATATTAACCAATAATATAATCAGTGTTGAGCAGTGCTAATTTTGACAGCAAATTTTGATTTAGTTTTAGTCATAGTCTTTTGACTAAAATGCCATTTAGTTTTAGTCATATTTTAGTCATCTGAATTGTTTTTAGTTTTAGTCTAGTTTTAGTCGACTAAATATTATAAAGATTTTAGTTGACTAAATCTGCAGTAAATTTAGTCGGCTAAAATCTAATGGGTTTAGTTACAGTGCATTTATTAAGCATTTCTCTAAAATTTCCAAACTCATTATATAGGTTTGATATTAAGGTTTTATCATGATAGACACCGATTTAATTGCGGTGACACACAACATGCCTTTATGTTAAAATTTAATAAAACCCACTTCTCATAAAGAACAAGAACATGGTCTTCGTTTTAATGAAATACCAATGGTTATATAGGCTAATTATGCATTCTTTATAGCAACTTGTTTACCATATTCTTCATTCTTTCAAGCAGAAATATTTATTTCTATAAATAAATTTAGATTTATCTTTAGGGCTACAGAAGTTTTTCAGTCAAGAGCAGTGCGTGATTTTCTGTCTTTCTTTTGTTGCTTGATTAACATCAATGACTCGGACACGGGTGTCCACACACACACCCAGTTCTATCAATCACTGCACATTCTAAAAATGATTTAGCCATTCGGTAATAAAGCCCTCCGGACACATTCAGACTTGCACATAGAACAGGGGAACTCGAGAAACCCAATGCTACTCTAAAGGACATACTTGCTTTTCAGCAAGCCACTCTTTCACACCATTTGGACAACGCAATGCTGAAATGGTTTACAATAAAAGTGGTGCTCAGGGAAAGACCACAGGTAGAATTACACTAAGCATTCTGGGACTTCAAGCCAGTAATTCATTTGGCATGATGGGAGAGTCTAAAGTGTGTAACAGCCTCAGCCTGAGAAACAGTAAAATGCTTTTTTTGAGACCTTAATTATGAGCTAATTTATCCGGTGTTTAGCAAAAGTGGTGATGCTACTAACTTAACACTTACCGATGACTGTAATGCAAAGCAGTTTTCAAAATAGTGTAGCTCTTCAAGTAGCAAAGCAGTGTAGCAATTATGAGTTAACAACGGTGTTGAGGGATTAACTAACTAAAAGTAGCAAAGCTGCTAACTTGGTAGAATTGGTAGAATTTTAGCATGACAGTAATTTTTCAGTAACAAGCTATTTTGTTGTGTAGTGCGACAAAATTACATTGCTGGTTATTACAGAACAATAGCAGTGACACACCTGTGTGAAATAAAAATTAAAAACAGCAATGACCAAAAAACTATTTAATTGTAACAGATTCAAAGATTCAGAAATGTCATATAGTTTGTTTATGGCGGTGATTATGTGAGATGAGTAGCTCACATTACAGGCCTTTCTGCGAGTCTGCAGCCTGTCTCTCCACACACAATAGCCAGG